TAAAGATAGATTTACCTTTTCAGTTACTGGGCTTGATACCGATTGAAACGAAAGGATACTCACACTCCCAACTATTCAAAGACACCACTGACACTCAAGTGAAGCTCAGATTTTGAGTGAAGTGTGAGTGAAAGGTATGTGTCCCTTGAGCAGCACACAACTTTCCTTAATCATACCTACATGGCAGATAGGTGGCTAAATACTTTTCAGAAGAACTAAAGAACTTTTCAGCTTGCATGCGGGGACCTCTGTGCAATTTCACAGCCATCAGCAAGTCGGATTATAAAACGTGTATCCCGAGGCAATCGCACGCTTAAAGAATGTTTACATTACATTTCCTGATGGTGACAAGCTGCAGCAACTTAAACTGGATTTCTGGAGAATTTAAGCATTTCCCAGTGTTGTGGGTGAAACTGATTTGTACACACATCAAAATACAATGCCCTGGGAGTGAGAATGCTGAACTTTTTTGTAATCAGAAAGGATATTTTTCAATAAATGTTCAAGCTGTTTGCGGACCAAATTTAAAAATTTTAAACGTTGCTTGGTGGCCTGGTAGCATCCATGAGGCCAGAATTTTTCATAAAAGTCAACTATGTGCACAGTTCAAACGTGGTGATATCCCTGGCATGTTACTTGGTGATAGTGGTTACCCATGCCGCCAATATCTCATGACGCCAATACGTCTGTAACGCAATTATATGTGTCTCAAGTATGTACATGAAATACCATGGAGAGTGTGTTTGACACATGGAAGAGGTTGTTCCCATGCTTATCAATGACCATTGCACAAAACTGCAAATGACGCTATCATTGTCCGGTGCAGCTGAGTTGTTCCACTTTATAAGAAGCCGAAATGACCCTATGGATGAACCAGAACATATGCCTGCTGCCAAGTAATGATACCAGTGAATGATACCAGTGAATAATGTTCATGCTGGTGAATGGGTTTTAGGAAATGCTGTTCACAAAACACTGATAATGCAGCATTTTACATAAACTATGAATAATTATTCAATTTTGTAACACAATAAGTATATTATATATATTCTCATATTAAACAACTTTATATTGCCAAGAATATGCAATCAAAATAAAATACACTTGCCTATTCCTTGTGTATTTTATTGACAGAGGTTATTAATGTGATTAGTTTTGCTTCCCAGCTCGTGTGTTTGGTCTCAGTTGTTGCTCCTGTGTGTTTTTTATGGACTTCTTCATTGTTTCCCACTATGTTAATCTGCATCAAGCATTTCTATTTTCCTTTTGTCAGGAGCTCCATTTCTGCTTCATGCTGTTGGGTTTGTAAATATAAACATCGTGCTTGGGCCTCGGATATTTGTGATTTCTTTGTAAATGATGATACAAAAATATCTTTGGCTTTCGCACTAATTCTAATGGCTTTTCTAATGCTGAAAAATATTGTCTACTTTTGGTCATCATGAACCTGCGGCAACGACGTACAAATGCAATTGATGATTCCACAACATGTTTAACTTACATATTTCAAAACCTCATCAATATTCAATGTTAAACTAACAGTCCAGCAAGTGTTGTTGCAGAGCAAGCTGGAGGTGTATGTTGCATGGTACAGCAAAGTGCTTGGCCTCGTAATCTTATGGAAGCATACAATATTGGCTAGTCTATCTATACGACAATGCGTGCAACCAGCGAGGATCCTTATCCTTCGCTTGTTATGCTATGCAAAGATCAACTGAAGAACCCAGAAAAGGCGTACGTTCAAAAAGTTATATAGGCACCTGATTGTACTGCTCATGCCAACTCGGCAACTAAACAACATCGTGACGTTCTGTACAAATAGGTTCATTTTAGTGTCTTTCGAGCGGATCTTACATTCAATTTGGGTCCATTCAGCACCACAACTACACAGTACGAGCATCTATTATTGCTGCATTGCCGTAGCGAACAACATCCAGTCATGGTTGGTCCAATCATGATACATCAGAAAAAGGAACCATCAACGTACAAAGTACTTGTTGATCACATAGTTGAGAAGAAGCTCGAATTTAAGCATTTGTGTGAGCTCGGTACAGATGGAGAGGTGGCTTTGTCAAATGCATTTCTTGAGGTTCGTTCTAATGCCAAGCATATTATGTGCTTTAATCATTTTTTCAATAATATAAAGCATCATCTGGAGTCAGTGGGTGTGAACAAGTCAGACAGAAGAACTATCCTTTCTGACATTTTTGGGCAGCAAGTTGGCTCTGTGCTAGAGGAAGGCATTGGTGACGCTCATGACAAGGACGAGCTTCACATTCTCATGAGTTCCTTAGAAAGTGCCTGGTTTCAACGCATTGGTGATAAAGGAAAAGTGTTCTTTAACTGATTCATGAAGCACAAGTTTCAACTTCTCAAGGACCACCTTTTAAAACCTGTATGTGTCGAAGCAGGCTTCGGAAACCCTTCGAGACGTTATATCACCAATCGTGTAGAGTGTGTTAACAGCCTTTTGAAAAGAAAAGTGAATGAAAAAGAATCAAAAGTTGACGAGTTTATTGCAACTATGCAAGAAATGATCAGGCGGCAGGCCAGATATATTATGTTGGCAATCATTGACAAGGTTCCGTACAGGCTACATCTGTTGCTGGGGGGAGTGTCGCAGCTCCTCGCAAGAATGATTTTCATTTCATCTGTTTCAACCAATAGCATAGCTTCGTTCTTTAGCAAGCATAGAAAAGCATTATCCAATTGGACGAAAGCTCCTGAGAGCTGCAACATGTCCCCGTTGCGGAGTCATTTAATCTTGCCTTCGGAAGTTTGGCTAGTGATGAATGATGAAATACAAGGAATGATATCTTCTTTCTGTTCTGAATACAGATGTCTTGGAGACTGTAGTGACAGGAACTGATTCATTGTTATGTTCTAAAGAAGAAAGTTCTGAAGAGAGACGTTCAATTCAAATGTAATTACAAGGTGTAATTACAAGTACCGGAATTGATTCCAAGTCCGCGTTTTGTTTTCAAGAGAGTAGTTCAAGGCCAGATTTTTCATCTTTATTGGGCCAGAGTACAAATATCTCGAAAAGTGTATTCCGCAGGGTGGATTTTGCCTAATTGTTCACCTAAATCAAATTCCAACCTAGATATTTTTTCTCCATTGGATCTTTTGCCGTCAGCAGCTCTAAATGATGTAATATCCGAGAATGATTCTCGTAAAGTCCCAAATGAACAAGTTACTAGCCAATTAGAACCGTGAGCTAGAGATGTACAATGCACACCTAAGTCAGAAAAGCTAAGCCTATTTTTACATCGCACACTTCCAATCGCTCAATTGAGCTGAAATATTAAACATATATTATTTTTTCTGATGCAAATAGATATGCAAAGTTTCAAAGAGTAATTCCCTTGTGAAGTTTGAATTCAATCACACATGATCTGTTCTGACACCCTATAATTACATGTAAGTTAGAAAAGCTAAGCCTATTTTTTTATCGCACACTTCCAATCTCTCAATTGAGCTGAAATTTTAACTGTGTATTATTTTTTGTGATGCGAATAGATGTGCAAACTTTCAAAGAGTAATTCCCTTGTGAAGTTTGAATTCAATCAGGCATGATCTGTTTTGACACCCTATAATTACACCTAAGTCAGAAAAGCTAAGCCTATTTTTTTATCGCACACTGCCAATCGCTCAATTGAGCTGAAATTTTAAATGTGTATTACTTTTTGTGATGCAAATAGATGTGCAAATAGATGTGTCAAAGAGTAATTCCCTTAAAGAAGTTTCAACTCAATCAGGCATGATCTGTTTTGACACCCTATAATTACACATAAGTTAGCAATGCTAAGCACCTACAGACCTCTTACCCATAGCTGCATCAGGGTTCTGTCGCTTGCAGAACTTAATAGATGGTAAATGTATGTATGCCTCTAATTTGTCAGATGACGGTTAATTATTGGCAAGAATACTTGATGAATACACCATAAATGATCGTCATTATCAGCATCCAAAAGAGACAAGTTGTCTAAGTGGTAGAATACGTCGTAGAAAAGGCTGAGGCATCAGAAATGCTAAGCACCTACAGACCCCTTACCCATAGCTGCATCAGGGTTCTGTCGCTTGCAGAACTTAATAGATGGTAAATGTATATATGCCTCCAATTTGTCAGATGACGGTTAATTATTGGCAAGAATACTTGATGAATACACCATAAATGCAGGGCCGGATTAACCTCGCGCGAGGCCCGTGGCAGATTTTTAGCGCAGGGCCCCCATCCCCTTGTTATGAAAACTTTTGAATTCAAACACACTTAAATTTGCTAGATATTTTTTTTAATTTTATCTATTATCCATTTTTTGGTATAATTGGGTCTTAGAAATGCATTTTCAGTATCCAACAACAAACATACATAACAAAACGTTAACGATTAAAATGGCTAAGGCTAGCTAACAAAATATCATACAGATCACTGAAATCAGGGATTAATGTCACTGGTGTCTAATGCATACTTGACGCCTGTATTCAAAAAGCTCTTTCACACTCACAGTCATTGAGTGTGACATATAAATTTTGTTAATGCTGATCAATGAGAAAGTTTTTTTTGAATAGATAGGAAGATATAAGATAAATCATTGAAATCAAGTCCCTTTTTGGCTGGAAATACCGCCATTATGAGAAGATTAGGATCTCCCCCTGGATCTCTCACTCAATGAGTTTGAGTGTGAGTGAGCTTTTAGAATACAGGCGTAAGTCTATAAGAAGTCAATCAGAAGTAACACTGTAGTTGTAAACGTAGTGCCTACGCGATTTCTTCATTACGAAATCATTAATCAGCGATGAAACTGAAAGGTTTCGCAGAATTTCGGCTTCCATGTTGAGACGCGCGAGACTGTTTAGACGTTTCTGCCCCATGGAAGATCGAATTTCGCTTTTAAGTAGTTTAAGCTTAGAGAACGACCTTTCGCCAGAACAGTTCGAGATCATCAAGCTTAAATATATGCGAAATAGGATTACAGTATTAGGGAATAACTGTCTCCAGATTATTGGCAACAATTAGGCGGTAAAGACGTTCGCAAGAAGCCAAACTTCGCAGCAATTTCTGAATAGGCGTCCAATCGTTTCTGCAATTCACTGGCGATGCTGTCTACAATTACCAGAAACGTTCCTGTCCGAAACTTGTCGGCTGGAGTCTGCGGCTGTTCAGGTGCTGCTTCCGGATCATCGTAATGGCGATTACGTCGACGCACTCGTTGGACGTCTTCCTTGTATTGGTCACATTCACTCAGTACCTTTCCTTTCCTTTCGAACTCTTCGAATCTGGTGCGCAGCTTTCGGATAAAATCCGCAAGAGACTCGTAGATTGCAACGGCTGAATTGAGGTCTTGTTCGGCGGACTGTAGAACTTGACTGCTGCCGTGAAAACGATGTAGAATATGATACCACAAAACAGCTAGTATGCCTGTTTCCAGCCGATTCATGATGTCGACATAACCTCTTGCTTCTTCCCGGGTGGCAGCTTTCTGTTCCATGTCGCCAGCAAGCTCTAACAAGGCATCGCAGATTTCATCATATCCGTCCACCAGCGCTTTCGTCGCATCTGCGCGTGCGAACCAGCGAGTATCAGACATGCGCTTGAGAGTTGGAAGGCTTCTGCTAGATAGTTTGTCACTAAGAACTTTCCAGCGATGCGTTGCAGCGGAAAAAAAGGAATACATTCCTTGGAGAAATTTGAAAAAGGCAACGGCTGCCAGACAGCAACCTGCTGCAGATTCACCAACCAAGTTAAGCGAATGTGCCGCACAGGGTACATAATGAGCCACCTCACAATGCTGTCGGATAACGGCCTGCATACCATTGTATCTGCCACTCATGTTGCTTGCGTTGTCGTAGGACTGACCTCGGCAGTTCGCGATATCAATGTCATGCTTCTCCAGGAATTTCAGCAAGCTTTCCGCTAGTTCTCGCCCACTGTGACCTTGCATGTCCAGAAAGGTAACAAACCGCTCAACAGGACCTGATGGCAAAACATACCGTAGAATGCAGGAGAGCTGGTCAACGTGAGAAACATCTGGGGTTGAATCGACAGAAACAATATTTTGCCGACTTCACTTCCGAAATAATCTGATCCAGCACACGATTTCCCATCAAATCGATTAATTCTTCACAAACTGTCTTAGACAGATATGATGTGTGACCCCGTCCCTTGTTTGTGTGTAACTTTATATGCTGCGCAAGAAATGGATCGAACTTCGCCAAGAATTCCAATATGCCCAAGTAGTTTCCGTTTTTGGCAGAACCGACAATTTCATCTGAGCCACGAAACGCTAATCCACGCTCACCCAGTAAGCAAACAGCTTCGACCGCCCGCTCTAGGACCGCACACCAGTAATCACGCTCTGTCTTCGCCTGTTTGATTAGTTCTGCATCAACACGAGAATTTGTATCGCTGCGTTGCAGTAGCTGAATCATGGCTTGTCGGTGATTTAAACTCTTCTCGTGTCGTGAAATTTGCTGAGAAGCATGTTTCCAGTCACTGCACCCCTGCTTTCCAAAAACTAAGACATCTGTCATCAGTTTGCACGCAAAACAGTATAGTGAATGTTGGGATGGTGAGTAACAGAGCCAAGTGCGAGGATGTTGCTCCTTCGTGAGTTGGTGCGTATAAGTGAACAAAGTTTTCTGGCACTGTCGCATGTATTTATCGCCTTTGGGTAGTGTGGATGTGGCACTAAAATCTGCATCAGAATTATTGCAGTCGCTACTTCCCTTCATTGCCCAGTATTCTCTCATGCTGTTCGAAATGGTATTTGGCCATAATCCTAAATCAGAGGAATGGGGATCAGAGAGATCGTTAGATATTACAGGTATCTCTGTTGTGCTCGATCCGCTAGCTCCTTCATCATGTTGCTGACATTGCACATCCGTAAGGGCGTCTACAGAGATACTGCTACTACTGGCGTCCAAGTCGCTAGTCTCACCGCTTGGAGTTGGAGCGCTGCTATTGGAACCGAATAGTGTTGAGATTTTTGGTACTTTGCTCAATAGGTTGCGTTCCCGTGAGGCACGTTCTTCCTTCGCTTTGCGTTTTGCTGCTCCAGAGAGGTGTTTACGATTTTTGTCTCTGTCTCGACCGCCACTTGCAGAACTCATTGCCCACTCTAATGTAGCATTCTGTAGGAAACAGGATTTTTACATGCCGTCACATTTACATTTACACTGTTACAGTCAAAACAAAAATTTTAAAAAAATCTCGAAGTTTTGCGGCTGATAAAATAAACTGCGAGCTAATTTAATAAATTACTGTGCAGTGGTGTAGTGAAACTGTGAAAGTGCATAATTATGAGACAAAAACGGAAAATCAACCCCCGCGGAACATAACGGCGTAACCTAGACATTATAGTCGGGTCTTATTTCAATGTCTGGCATTGTCAGCTAGTCAGCTACACAGTATATACAAGGCCAAAGAGTCAAAGACTGCACCGTTAATTCTATTCATATACACATTTGTGCATTTTCGAATATAATTACGTGAACAAATTATATCTTGAATTACAGTTTCCCAGTTCGCAGGACGGCGCTGAGTTTTGTTTTGCTTAGTTACAAATTGCGCGTTCACGCAAACGGTAAATTCGCGCATATTGTTTTTTCATCAGTGAAATATATAATATCGTCATAGTCGATACACGTTGTTTTAAAACCCAAGATTTAACAGACTTAACATAATAACATTTAGGTTTATCGTATAACACCGACAGTTCAGATATAGATGCATCTTGATCCATGCATGGCACGCACATTGACAAGTATTGAAATTTCATATACGGAAATATTATAATAGTAATATAACTAATACTTACCAAACTTCAGCCTCCTTTCACCTTTCAATCAATAAATGTTCAACTTCAATAACAATTGTCAAAGCTGTTGTTGACGAACAGTGTTACACTTTATCATACAACGCCAGAACGACTTCTATTTAATATCTCAATTGGGCGATACACAAGACAATGGCCTGCCTAGCCCAGGGCCCCAGGATCATATATCTCAACAGGAGATTGCATGCTTATGGTTGCATATTTTCCTGGGTCAATTAACAAGCCTAGGGGCCCTGAATGCGCTAGTCGTGAGGCCCAAATGCGCAATGGTCCCAAATGCGCGAACCGAGAGGGCCCCAAATGAGCGAACCGAGACTGAGTGATAAAATGGGCGTGTTTTCGTTAAAATGGGCGTGGCACAGTAAAGCGCGAGGCCCCCATAAGCGCGAGGCCCGCGGCATATGCCGCATCTGCCACGACGTTAATCCGGCCCTGCATAAATGATCGTCATTATCAGCATCCAAAAGAGACAAGTTCTCTAAGTGGTACAATTTGTCGTAGAAAAGGCTGAGGCATCCAGCAAGCATGTCATGCCACAACCTTTCAATCCTTTGATTGTGGGTGCTTTTACCTTAAAGAAACAATTAAATTTTGATAGATGTGAACGAGTAATTAGTTACGAATATTAAATATTGTTGTTAAAAAAGATTACAAAAAAAAATCTCAATTCTGATTGGTTTAGAGCAGTGCAATTTTTAGGAAATCCCAGTGCCAAAAAAAGAAATTCCAGTGCTTATTTCTTCAAGACGTTTTTAAGAATGCTACTGAGTGTTATAATTGTTGTCTTTTATAAATTAAATATTTAATGTAAAAACGTTGAAACCTATTTATTTTGACATTACTTGAAAACAACATGTGACTGCGCATGAATTTTGTTAATTGAATAAGTTATTAATCATATAATTGCGTAGCATGTGTCGCTAAATTTTTTAATGTATATTATTAATAATATACATAGATTCTGGTGCAATTTGGAAACAAACATGCAGTCGTGAGTTTTTCAAAGACTTCAAATTCCACTCGTCCTTTGGACTTTTGCTATTTTGAGGTCTTTCAAAAACTCCAAATTGCACTCGAAACCATGCAATTAGGGAGGTTAAGATTGACTTCCGCTACGAGTACCAATAGCAATAATCAGTCACACGCATGCGCGTACTTAACAATCGTCAAAAATATGACAACACTGAAAGTCGCGAGTACCGTTTTGGGGCTGAAAATGGAAGTGGATAGGTAGGCAAAGTACCGAATAATATTTACTGTATTATTGTCATTTTCTGTGGTAGTTTTCTAATAATATTATTTAGTTTTTATTTGTATCATGTTTCTGCTTTGTTTGGTGAGATTGTGATTAGAGTTTTTGATGTGAATACAGCCGCTATACTCCGCCATGTTTATTTACTTCTTATGGAAGTCACAATCTTAACGCTTTAAAATTTCCGCGCTGCTAAACTGTAATACGTCATGCATTTTCATCGGTACTGATAGTGGAAGTAGATCTTAACCACCCTATTACCTATACAAAGACTGCTTTATGATGTGTAATAATTATATATACTTGCTGTCCATGCAACATGATGATTTTACTGGATTGATTATTCAGGATGCAAATAATTCTTTACTCGTGATTACATAATATTATCACCTGTGATCATACTTCCTCTTCCAGGACCATGTTGAACATGATTAAGCATGTATACCAAACTTCAACATTTTCCCCACCTTTATTGGATCTTACCCTTGAAGGTACTCCATATTCAGCAACAGCTTCTTGAAAACATGCAAGAACTGTGTGTCCTTTATTGTTATTGAATGCTTTAAGGAAGTCAAGAGTACCCATCAATGCCACCATGTATCACAATATGCCACCTTTAATATGTACTTACTCTTCAATATTTAAACTTTGTTTTTAAAAAAAGTATTGCTTGTGTTTAATAAATACTAAAGGCAGGTTTCCATTTTATCATTATGATTGCTAAAAAAATGAAGCGATTGTAACGATTAAATGGAGACCAGCTTTAACAATATTTATTGCACATGACACTCTTACCTTATCAATTTGTGGTTTCCATCTATGTATGTGCCATAGCGACAAGGGATATTTCACAAGATTACTCTCTGCGTTTTATTGTTCTTCTCCACCTCTCCATCAAACCAATAGGGTCAGTGCGTAACAGTGATTGTCTTACTCTTTCCCACTGAACTCTAATTCCATGGCTTTGAAGATACCCTTTCACCATACGTAATTCCCAATTTGGATGACTATTAGTTGCACTGACTACAAGCTCATCTAGCAGTGGATTATCTATTGTACTGTACGTACCTTACAGATAGTATAAATAACTTTACCTTAGATACTGTTAGTAACTATTCCTACCTAATGACTTGTTTTGTTTTGGCTAGTAAAGTTTGCATGGGGTTGAAGGTTGATTTGTGGAAATTAGTGTACCCTGAAGCTTCAGGTGGTTTGTTTACTAAACCTCTACATACTTTTGGGTACACTTACCATTAAAAGAAAAAAAACATGGTATGTATAAAAATTAAATTAACACTTTTGACACTGCACTGTATTGAGTGTGGTACAAAATTATAAATGCATTTTTATTGTCACTACCCAGACACTCATAACATAAAATTTAATGGTACAATACCTGACATGCTCATACCAAAATTGGACATCTATCTTTCTACAGTGCGACAACTGACTCCAAGAATAGCACTTCTGTGGATTGGGGTGAATTGGGACAATCAGGTGA